TGGAATTTTACTTTTTCAATGGTCAAATAGAGGTGTTTGGTTGTGAAATTTGGGTCTCCAAATACAGTGGTAAGGTTTGGTTGGTCATATGAAATTGGGATGACAAATGGTAAGCTCTAATTAATGAGATTTGTTAAAATATGATCTAGGCTTAATGGGGGGTTAAATGGGGGAATTTTGAGCTATAATTTGATGGGTAGGCATGGATTAAGGTGAAGATGGTTCTGATCTAATAAAGATATGGTCAATCTCGGTAATCATTCAGGGCCATCAAAATAGAATCTTGATGTCTATGCGGTTGGTTGTCGTAGATTTGTGTTAGGATTTGTTAGCTGATTGTTTCCTAATGATTTTGAGGAGTTAGAGTTTGAATATTACACAGATAACACCTTCCAAGCAAAGGTTTTGCACATCAACTTCAATCTTGACTGAAATTCCAGTAGTGAAATCTCCTCTTCCAAACTCTTGGCCCTCACAAAAATCTTCTTGTGCTTCTCTTTTTTTTGTTGTTCAACAACTTGCTACATCCAACAAAGAGGGGCAGCTATTAGCACCCAAATTTTGCTTAGTCCCTTCACCCAACCTCTTAGTACCCTCCTCTTAGACCCCAAAAGCTTGAAAGCACAATCAAATTAACTTAAAAACATTATCCTCAGACTTGGAAAACTATAACTTAGTTACACTTTAGTTTTCATGACTAAACTCCAAAGATCCACCGTTCATCACTCCAACTCCCTTTCTAACGGACCATCCTAAGCCTTAGAAGGCAATTGCAATTGTCAAACAAACACGAGAAAAACATAGTGGTGTCATCCCAAAAATATCTAGCATTAGTTGATATTTGATTTTTTTATGTATGCATTGGTGATTGATGATTCAAAAGATTTGATAGGTTTTGGTATTGGATGAAGCTGGATAAGTTTTTTTTATGGATTTCAAATTTGTTATTTGCTGGATGCTTATAGGTTGGATTTGATTTTTATATGTTGTGAAGTTCGAATTTGTGATTTGATGAAGGCTTATAAATTTTGATTTAAAAGATTGTTGAGTTTTTTATGGATTTAGGTTTTTGATAGTTGATGTTATGAAGTTTGAATTTGTTATTTGATTCAAATGTTTAATGGAATTTTACTAAGTTAATACATATTTTGGTTTTTGACTTGAATTTTTTTATAGGTCTTGATTATTTAAATATTTGATGGATTTTGAATTTGGATTTGAATTTTCACGGGTTTTGATTTTTGAAATTAGTTATTTGATTTAAATATTTGAATTTTTGTGGGTTTTAGTTATTTGATTTAAATGAACTTTGGCTTTTGATTTAAATTTTTATGGGTTTGATTTTTGAAATTGGTTATTTGATTTGAACATTTAATGGATTTTGACTTTTGATTTTAATTTTTATAGGTTTTGATTTTTTAAATTGGTTATTTGATGGACTTTGACTTTTGATTTAAATTTTTATGGGTTTTGATTAGTTACTTGATTTATGGATTTTGATGGATTTGAAAATATTTGATGGATTTTGGTTTTTATTTTGCGTTTTACGGGTTCTTATTTTTGAAATCAGATATTTAAAATTTTTGATGGAAGTTTACTAATTTAATATGGATTTTGACTTTTTATAGGTTTTGATTTTTGAAAATATTTGATGGAAGTTTAATATGGATTTTGATTTTTGTTTTTGGTTTTTATGGGTTTTGATTTTTGAAATCAGTTATTTAAAATATTTGATGGAAGTTTACTAATTTAATTGATTTTCATTTTTTTATTTGATTTTTTACATGTTTTGATTTTTGAAAATATTTGATGAAAGTTTAATATGGATTTTGATTTTTTGTTTTCAGTTTTTACGGGTTTGATTTTTGATGTTTGATGTTGAAATCATTTTAGGAAACCATTTTGAAAACTTTACAAAAGTCCTATGATTGCTATAGCGCATGTTGTCACTCTGATAAGTAATAGGATTCCTTTATATAGGATTTACTTGCGCATTAAAACTTCGATAATTCAGGTGACAGATACTGTACAGTTCATAGTGTACAATATTAAAGTAAGTCTAATGCCCCTACTAACGGTTGAGATTTTATAAGGGTGGTTTCAGGATAAGGTGGTATGATCACAACTTATCAAGCTTTTTGTGCTTCTAGACATCATGCATTAGGGGCAAAAGATTTTTGAACTCCACAATTGATTTTAGGAATGCTCTAAGAGTGATTTACTTGAAGGTAGCTCACACGAGATTTTTTTTTTACTTGGGTTATGCCAAGTGAATTGATTCCAAGATTTTGAGTGAAGGCAAGCCACACAAAGTGATAGATTTTGATGGATTTCAATGGGTAATCGATTATTCCTGAAGGTAGATCGCACGAAACGAAAGATTTTGATGAATTTGGATGGGTATTTGATTATGCTCGAAGGCGTGTATCGCATGAAGTAAGAGATTCCGATGATTTTCAATGGGTATTCGATTATGCCCGAAGGCGGATCACACAAAGTAATAGATTTCGATGATTTTTTTATGGGTATTCGATTATACCCAAAGGCGAATCACACAAAGCGAGAGATTTCGATGCTTTTCGATGGGTACTCGATTATACCCAAAGGTGGATCGCACGAAGTGAAAGATTTCGATGAATTTGGATGGGTATTTAATTATGTCCGAAGGCGAATCACATAAAGCGAGAGATTTCAATGATTTTCAACGGGTATTCGATTATGCCCGAAGGCAGATGGCACAAAGCGAGATATTTCAACGACTTTTGATGGGTATTCGATTATGCCCAAAGGCAGATCGCACAAAACGAGAGATTTCGATGATTTTTTATGGGTATTCGATTATGAGTTGATGAATTATGATGAGTATTCGATTATGAGAGATTTCGATGAATTTTGATGAATTTCAATGGGTAATCGATTATGAGAGGTTTCAATTATAAGTTGATGAATTTCGATGGATATTTGATTATGTCCGTAAGAAGATCACACGAAGTGAGAGATTTCGATGAATTTTGATTGATTTTATAAACTTTGGATGTTTTGGATGAAAGATAGTTGGATGACTTTTGGATTTTGACAACTTAGATGAAGCAATTTGCACAGAAGGATTATGAAAAAGATTTTTAGGTGCCTTTGGATTCAAATAGATGATGCAAAGAACTTTGGATTATGTGCATGTCAAAATTTTGGATTTGATGAAAGATTTTTGGATAATGAATGATATTTGTATGAAAATTCTTGGATGGTTGGGATGGAAGATTTTTGAACGATTTTGAATTTTTTGGAAAACTTTTGGATAATTTGAAAACAAATTTTTGGTTAGATTATATTAGAAATTATAAGATAAATCAGTATAATTTTGTAAGTAAACCATTTAAAAAGAAAATAAATTATTTAATAAAAAATTAAATAAATTTGAATAAATTTTCAAAATTACACAAGTATAATAAATTTTCCAAATTTTTCATAAAATTACATTTTTCAATATTAAAGACAATTTAGTATACTTGTAGAAATTTGCCATGTGGTTGATACTCAATATATCCTTTTGATCATTTCTATCATCAAATTAAATATTGGGCTGATGGGGACAGTGTTCTCAAAACTTGATCAAACCAAATGGTTAGACCAAAAAATTGGGAATCGGACACCGTTTCACCTCGAAACCGCTTTTTGTCCAAAAACAGTTTATTTGGTTAGTGAACCGCTGACCTGGGTGGTCGAACCGTCAACCCGAACAACAATTTTTGGCCTTTTTTGTTTTTCTAATTTTTTATTTTTTTGTCAAAGTGGATCATCCGTTCGACAGACAGACCATTCGACCCCATAACGGTTCCCCATCTGGTCCAATTTTAAAAAAACCTTGGATGGGGAGTTGGTGCTTTGCTTTGAGCTTGGCTTGGTGTGTGGCATGGCTTGGCCTATGGACCAGCCCGACCCACGGCACGGCACGGGCTCGAGCCGTAGGTCGTGCCAAACCGACCCCCCAAATTATCCTAGAGGAGGGAAGCATGGCCTGGGACGCCTCGTGGGCCAGCACGAGACAACTCGCACTTTGTGCGGGCCACATGCACGTCATGTCATGCCAACTCAACACAACCCAATTTACACCTCTACTTGAACCCGCCCAATCCTGAGGACGAGGTAGAAAAATTCGAGGATTCTCCATCCTTGATGAGGAATGGGGTGCCTTGCCCCTGAACTCGCCCAACATTGAGGAGTGGTTACCTTGCTCTGAACCGCGTGACATTGGGGACAGGGCGGGGATGGGGTAGAGTGTCTTGACAATGAGGCAGGGAAAGGAATGGGGTGCCTTTCCCTGAACTCACTCCGTTGTCATTCCTGTATAATTGTTAATTATTAGTGAAATTAATAAAACTATTAGCTTTTATAATTATTTTTATTTATTTTAAAATTAATCAAAAATTCATTTAAAAAAATAAAAATTATTAAAATTACTACAAATTATTAATAAAACTAAATTTATTAAAAAGTATTTTTTTATATTCAATTAACAATAATTATTTTTTATAAATCAACATTAAATGAAAAATAAAATTATTAAATCTTTTAGATTTTTCCTTGCATCGCACAGGTCCCTACTAGTGACCATAAAAAAGGGCAAACAAGTTGTTTCAGAATCTAAGTTAGTGCTCACACACCAATTTGGTCATTTCTCTGAAGTAATCTTATCAAAGAAACAGGTCCAATCTAATTAATGTGTTTTTACTGTCATATTATTTTTTCACTATTTTTCATAATCTGAAAAGTGAAAACAATGAAAACTTGTTATTTTTTATCTATTTTTATTTTGGGAAATTATGGAAATATACGATTTTAATTTCCTATGCCAACTACAGTCCAAAAACACACTAAGTCCTAAATCTAGCATACCTAACTGACCTAGGGTGTTATTATTGATAATCTGAAGCATTCTGGAATGAACTAGGCACAAGTTCATCCCACTCTACCTATAAGTAATGGCTTTAGGCTGTGCTTGGTTTGACAGAAAATAAGAGAATCAGAAAGTTGAGGGAGCCACAGTTTGTTCATCCTTGTATCCCAAAAATGATACACTATTGTCACACCTCTAAATGAAGTTGAAATATGAAGAAGAAAGACTAATAAGAGCCACCACCATCGTCGTCATCACTATCATCATCACTGCTTGAAATATCCGGAAGGAAAATGCCAACACCATTGTCATCATCTGCAAAGAACTGTATCCGAGGACCCATATACTTCCTTAACTCAATCTCCTCATCTACCCGTTTCATATACTCCAGATCATCATGGTGGTACAACACAACTTGCAAGTCTCTAGATGGGTTCTCCTTGTACTCTCCTTGTTCTTCTGAATTCAGAATTTGTAAATAAGTGTGATTTATGATACCTGGGATCTCGTAGTTCTCACCAATTGTCACCTGAATAATTGTGACATGACTATCAGTGACAACATTTTCCACCACTCTTCTGCAAGCCTTGCTTATTTCCAAATGAAGAATGGAGAGGCTTGGTCTGCAATCTTGAAGGAATAGTGCTTGTTCTTTTTTATATGTTGGTGCAATGAATTCACTCTGCACAACAACACAAGAGAGTTGGTGTCATCAGATAAACATTATTGCCCTGTGGTATTGTAAAAGACCAACAATGTCTGTTAAAGCTTAAAATGCCATGCTACTTGTTTTATACAAGGAAGATGACAATCATGGCATCCACCATTTTTCTGTACATTCAATTTTTTTTTAATAAAAGTCGTTAGTTGAGTAGCATGGCTTCAAGCAACCCCCATTCGCTCACTGATAATGTTACATCCCCTTCAGGATGGGGAAACTACCCTGCCCACCTTATCCTACATTGGTTGAACATGTTCTTTGCCAGAAGTCCAAAACAATGTGGATATTGGATAGTCAATATGGTTAAATAATTTCATTCTTTGTTAAAAGTAGATCAGTTGATTTAAAGTTAAACAACTATTTGCATCTGAAACAGATATTGAGAAACCATACTCTTACCCAAATTGGTAGTTCTACTAAAATGTGGGTTCGCATTATTCTGCAATTCGCAATGTCTAAAGCTTCAAAGTCCTTCATTTCTGCCATAGACTGGGATGCAATTAATTGGGTATTGATCTTCATGTCCAGACTATTGGGGACCTCTATTGCATCAACTAATAGTGGAAGGACCTCTCTTTGACAGTTTTCCATTCTCATCTTTAGAAGTGTTGAATAGAAACTGTCCTCACACTCGGCAACAATGCTCAATGCTTCCTCCTTATCTTTTCTGAGTTCTTCAAAGAAATTTCTTTGAATAGCTTCTATATTTGACTCCTCTTCTATGGACAACATACGAACCCAACCTGATTTAAGGCTGATGTGGTATGAATTGCTTGAGACGTTGATTACTCGACCACTTTTCAGTTGTTCGCACAACCAAAAGTTACCACTGAATATACTAAAGTGCAAAGTCTCACCAACTTCAGCAGCAGGGTATTCATGCACCGGCAACATGGTTGTGGAGCCATCATCCAGGGATAGAACTATATTTCCTTCCCTCTGAAGTGGGGCATCCGTTTCACCAGAAGCATTTCTTTTCATATCATGAAGTGATATCATCAAATTTTTAATATCTTCATAGGAATCATGGGAAAGGAAGGCAATTATGACCCATGCATATGGAACAGTTGATTCTGGAAGCTCAAATGTGAGCTTATGGTTGGAAGTTTGATTCATCTTCTTGAAATTCTTAAAAATCTCATGCTTGTTGATAACTGACTTGGTTGCAAAATGCATAGCAGGTGCATATATGTAATTCTACATTAAAAAAAAGTAACATATAAATGGTCCAAAATTTTAAGTCGAGTTATTTCAGACATTTCTATAATTAGTAACCTGTCAAGAACATGTATCTACTTATCTACTTATAAAAGTCAATTCATGACAATGAACACCTATTATCAATAGAGGAGGTTCTTTTTTCCTTCCATAACACAAATACAAACACATACACAAACAGTTTGGCCTAGTGGTTATGTACACCTAGCTGCTAAGTGAAAAACATAAATTATCAAATATTGATACAAAATGAAATGTAGAGAAAGGCATACTTTAACATATACTGTAACCTTCAATACCATGTATCCAATCTTCAAAAATATCTGGGTTTTATCATCATAAAAGTCAAAAGCATCCAAATTTAACTCCCTTGCCAAATTCATACTTGTAGAGTTGTGTCCTGAAAAGGATGTCATAGCTGATATGCTTTCCTAGGAGCAGGGATGATCAGTTATAGGCCTGGAAGCCCAACCTAGACCATGATCACCCGTACCTAGGTGCAGCAATTTAACAGACCACCCTATGCTACAAGAAATGATGTATTCTAGTTGGAACAAGTATGAACATAGAAGCCTCTGTTTATCTTTATGGCAGTTTTAACATCTTATATATCAGGCTTCTATGATTTTCTTTCTGAACTTACAATTGTTCCAAACTGACAACTCCAGTTTAGACTATCAAATTCTAAGACAAAAGATTTAGTGTTGAGTTTAACATTGATCCCTAAAGTTTAAGACCCATAGCTCTGAGCCTCCAATACCAATTGACACCGGATAGGCATGCAAAGGATAAAATTGAGTTCTATTGATCAAAGTCGGATAATTGCATGACCAGGATGGAGTTTTGGGGTTTTTATAGCATATATAAGTAATAAGAATTATTGAAAGAGAATGAGGTGAGAGAGAGAGAGAGAGATTAAAAGAACAGTACAAAAGAATCATGAAGAACAATAGAAGAGGATGGGAGAGAGAGAGAGAGAGAAATGATACTTGGAGCAAACTCACACAAGAACATTTTACTTTTACATTACTTTATTTTAATCCAACTTCTTTCCTTATTTATAGACCCCAAAACTTTTTCTTATTTGTAAGAGAAGTTGAAGTTACCAGGAAGGTACCATAGGAAAGTCCTAATTAAAGTAAAACTTCCAAAGACTTGGTTCTTATAGCCAATTGATACCCTAACAATAAAATGCCAAAGCTCTGCCAAATCACATCAAGATTACAGGGTTGTGGTCCCTTGGTTAGGTACCTAACCCAGATACATGTACAAGGGTGCTATATTGTGTCAGGTATCTCGATTTTTAGTGTAAATTTCATATCTGATACCATATCCAGAAGTGCCCTTGCTGTATCCAGGTTACATAATTAGTTACTAAAAACAATATGTAGTATCACCAAAATCAAGTCAAACCAACAATTTTTGGCCCATAAAAATCAATCCATGAAAAAATATCTTTACAGCTTAAAATTTATAAAAACTAACAACTTTCTAATATGAGTTCTTAAATTGATCGAAACCAATTCCTATGACAACAAAGGCTGAAAATTGACTTAAATTGATTGAAACCAATTCCTATGACAACAAAGGCTGAAAGTTGACCAGGCATAGAAAAGAAAAATAAAACTATAGAACTGAAAACAAATGAGAGCAACAGGGAGAACAGTAAAATTTTCAAGCTAGTAGGAAACTAGGGTCTAGTTAACTGTCCTCAGTTGTTTGGCCTTCATTAGGGGGTTTGATAGACTTGTCAGTGCTATCATGGATTTTGTTTATCTTAAGTAAGAAGAAATGGATTCTATTAGGTCTCTTGATTTCAATTATGGAACTACTAGAATTCTACAAGCACCAAAACTTCTGAATGTAAAAGTGTTATAACTTATAGATAAATAAATATTTCAAATAACTTTTCTGATCAAATTTAGTGCAGTAAGATTTTCTGCAGATCTTGAATGCAATCAACATGGAGTAAGAAGAGGAACTAAAACTTGAAAGGAAAAAGAACTTACCTGCAGTTTCTGCAGCCACTCATCTCCATGATAACGGAAACCCCAGTATGTAATGAAGATATGAATTTCCTTCAGTGTCCTGACCAACTCCAAGCCTTGTATGTAATTCAAGTTCACACAGCCCACTGTATCAATCTTTTCAAGATGCCGGAGCATATCAATGGACTGTATCACTGATAGCTCTGGGCATTGCCTCAGTTTGAGGTTTCTTAACCACATTGTTGCTCTAGGAATATAAACAATCCTAAGTTGAAGGCAACTCACTATTTCTAGAACCCTGAGCTTTGGTAAGATTGTGACTTCAATTAAACTGTTGCAGGAGACTATGGAAAGGGATACAATATTGGGCAGTGCATATTCAGGAAATTTTATCAATGACATCTGAAGTCCCTGAAGTTTCATATTTGTCAAAGACAAAAGATAATTTGGTATCATAGAAAAACAATAGTCTAAGATGACACAAGCACCAAGTACGAGCTTATTGAGCAATGAAAGGTTCAGAAAGCTTTCATGTGACACATGGAGATTAGAGTTTCCTTCTAGTTCAAGTTTTAGCAATCTTGAAAGATGATTGATGCTAGATGGTAATTTTGTCAGGCTCCTGCAGTTCCTTATACATAATGTTTCTAGATTGCATAGTTCTCCGATCTCCTCAGGTAGCTCTACCAACCCACATGCAGATATATTCAGATTTTTCAGCCTTGTAAGTTTCCCAATGGCATAAACCAAACCTTTAAGATTATAACAACCGTCAAAGCAAATATCAGTTAGTGCAAAAAGATCACCTAAAGAATAGGGTAGTTCCATTAGATGAGGGCCTTGTAAGTACAGAACAGTCAATGATGAGAGTTGACCACAACTATCTGGCAGCTTGGTGAAGCCATTGACTTGAAGCTTAAGTTCCTCCAGATCTTTCATTTCAGAAATATCAGAGAGTTGATCAATAGCTTCTGCATCTTTTGAGGATGCCGTAAGTTGCAGATGGAGATGACTACATCCAGAAAGATCCAAGTGTTTGAGTTGTGTTAAGTTTGCAAATGAGTATGGAAGTGTAATCAATTTCTGACAGCCATCCAGAAAGAGGTAGTTCAGATTAACAAGTTCCCCTATAGATTCAGGAAGCCTTTGTATCTCTGAACAACCAGACAGAATCAGCATCTTCAAATTCTTAAGGTTTCCAATGTTTGGGGGAAGAAACTCCAAGGCGCTGCACCTTGACATTTCAAGACAGTATAGTGATTGACAGTTGCAGATCTCATCAGGAAGAGAAGTAATTGATTTGCAGTCTGTGAGGAAAACTGTTTGTAGGTTCATTAAACTCCCAATAGTTGCTGGAAGTGATCCAAGATTAGGGCATCCTTCAAGATAGAGGTGCCTTAACTGCAATGGGAGCTGCAACCATTAAGGTCAAATTAACCCCTTCTCATAACATGAAAAAAAGGAGAAAAGATAAGAAAACTCAGAACAATTGTCACATGTCAGGAAATGAACTCAAACAAGTCATTTAAAAATAAGTGTTATGAGAAGTAACCTTGGATGGTTCACTTGTATCCCACAAAGAGGACAGTCTCGACCCATCTAATTTAAGAACCCGCAGGCTGCTAATGGGAAATTCTAAGGGAAGACAGTGATATGGAAAGGATTGCCACTGGAGCCAAAGAATTCTTTCAGGTAACATTCTTATATCTCCACTAATGCAATCGTTTTCCAGCAACAGCAATTTCAGTTTATCCATTTTGTTGAAACACTCAGCCGGCCATGCATTGACAAAGTTATTCACATACTTGTTTGATGTCATGGTAAATTTATAGACATCATTGAAATTTGGCAAAGATGAAAGTTCTGTTTTCTCTGCTACCAAATTCAAGTACTCAATGTCTGTGAAACCCTGCATCCACCAGCATTTCTATAAATCTCAGAAATTCATCCTCGCCAAAAATAAACACAAAATACATAGGGAAAATGAAAAGATGAAAGAAATAAATAAATAGCTAGATCTGAGAAATCCTGAAGCGTACATAAATATGCTGCAATGCCTTATGAACATCTGTAGGCTTCCAACAATGCTTTATATGTTGTCTGTCCCTTTTGTTCTCTTCATCAACAACTTTTAGAATAAATACCTTCATCAGTGAATTCATTGAAATGATTCCACCATCAAATATGATGGCGTCTTTTAGTATGAGATCTTTGAGCACATCTGCACCGGAAATTCCACAGGCATCCCAGAAGCTGGTAGCAAAGTGAGAACGCTCATTCATGAAGAAACAGGCAATATCAACAAGCATATCCTTCTCAACCTGGTTAAGGGTCTCAAAAAACAACATGAATCTCCTTGTAATCTCTTCTGGTAGCCTGTTAGATACTTTTTCTAAAGTATTCTTCCAATAATGTTTACTATTAATACCTGACAATGATCTACCGATCACTTCCAGTGACAGAGGTATTCCATCACAAATATCTAAATATTGTTCAACCAGGACATCAAGCTCTGGATGAATCAATTCTGGTTTCTTCATTGCATGCATAAGCAGAAGCTTCCTGCTATTGCATCTGTCTAACTTATTTATTCTATAGAGCCAGATATTTGGAAAATCTATCAATAATGTACAGTTTGTGGTAGTAATTAAAATAACACTTTGAGGACTTAGAACCTCCTGCACCATTAATGCTTGCAGTTGTACCACATCATCTACATCATCTAGAACTATGAGAACCTCAGCCCCTTGAAGACGTTTTTTAAGAAGTTTAACTCCATAGCGGATATCATGAATGTCAACATCAAGCAAAACAAGTTCTTTTAGAAGCATTTGCTGTATGCTTGGAAGCCCAATGCTCCTTGCTTTCTGTTTAATACCATCAATAAAACATGCAGAAGTAAATGATGATTGGAACATGTTGAAATACTGTTTGGCAACTGTAGTTTTTCCGATCCCAGTCATCCCAATAATTCCAACAATGGAAGGAGTAGCATTCAGAGACTTGGCATTTTTTACCAAAATATCTAATTCATGGACCCTTTCATCAACAACAACAGGAAACTTTGGAGTCTCTAAGTCCACATTCTTTACTTTTCTGATAATATCTTTGACCACAGATTTCAAAAGCTTCTCTTTCCTAGTCAGTCACACCAACAGAAGCATCAGCAGTAGGTTTCACAATAATATGAAGAAATTATAACCAGAATATCCAAGTTAATCATACTAAAGTTGAAAAAATTTCCAGGGTAATAATCCAAACCAAATGAAGATATTAGCAAAGAAACTAGATGCAGACTATGTCAAATGACAACAAACAAACTGCACATGCAACAAAAGAAACGTATAAGATTTCAAAGTGTTATGGAATTTGTTTTATACAACTTCCAAGAAGAACTAAATAGAACTTTCCTAAGCCAAAACGGAAAACATGATTATGTATCAAAGTCATAAGAGTAGATAATGACCCAAATTAGAACAACCTAGTAGATTGTTTAAAAATTTCATAAAACCACATAACAATCATGAATCAACTACATACCATATCCTAGTTCAGTGATAAATTGAAGAACACAGCAAAATGGATAAGAGAAGAGACTAACCCTTCAAAATCACTCAACCTTGGGCCCAAAACATTGGCAACTTCCTTCAGAGCCTCCTCCCATTTCCTGATCAACTCTGAACTGAATTCTTTCCCTTTCTTATGCATCTGGAAAGCCTTGCTAAAAGGTCCATGCCTAATGTCCCTTAAATCATCTGGTTCAACACCGTAAAACACAGGAAGCAATACTGCACTGTTTCCCTCTTCCTTGACCTTATTCAGCATAAGCCTCAGCTCCTCCAAACACCATGCAGACTCTGCAAAGCCTTTGCTCAGTATAACCAGAAACACAGTGCAAGAGTTTATTGCTTCGACTATCACCGCACTGAGATTCTCTCCCTTGAGAATCCCCTCTGTGTCCAAGAAGCTCTTGACGCCCAACCTTTTCAAACTTTCATGGATTTTTCTTGCATAAATTTTCCCATCTGATCCCCTGTGGCTAATGAAGACATCGTACAAAACAACCCTCCCACGAATTTCCTCCGGAAGTAAGAGTTCATTAGGCAACCCAGAACGTGAACTCGAACCCACGGATTCAAGAACATTGGAATCACTTCTAACCAAAACCCAGTTCTTAATTCGTGACAACATTGAAGAAGCAACAACAGAAAAGACGAGGGGGAAGTGGAACAACTGAATTTCAGAAATTCCAACTACTATTACACACTTCTCTTAATTAGGAAAGAAAAGAAAAAGAAGACGTTCAAATTCTGACTGTCGATTCGATGCTAACTCAATTGCAGCTACTTACAAGATTAGGATCCTGAGAGTTAAAAAGCCTGGATACAGAGATTAAAAACATGAGAAATCCAAAAGCAAAACTAAACTCAATGTTCTGCAATTAAAAAAATATTCATAGCTCAGAAAAGTCCGGAAGGATTTCTTGCTATAAGATAACTTGGGTTGACATTTGAAACAGGTTTCTTGGTCAACTTTCATGGCTGGCAGAAGAAGAGGAAGGTTCATGCTAAAAGTCAAAATCAGAAAGATTATCATCTTACTAGATATTAGAAACTGACACTGACCCACCTCGTTGGAAAGCCACTCCATTAATTAATTACGACTTTCTTTTCTGTTTTGAAATCCGATTTATCCAAAACGAATTCGCCCCAATCATCCCACTGATAGTGATCCGGAATTAGGGTGATCATGGCTCATGGGCCAGGTTGACCGTACTTTCAACCTGTGAACCAGAACCGACCCAATTGATTAAGGGGCCATTGGGTTCATTGGCCCAACCCGACCCATTGACAGCCTTAATCATTTATCGATAAGGTCATACCCGGACTTGCCCCAGTGCCCCCCCCAAAACTTGGGCAGGCTGAGGCTGGGGTTGGATTTTTTTAAGGCTATGTTTGGTTTGAAGGAAAAAGGAGGGAAAGACTTATCCACACAAATTCTGCTCACGCCTACCCACATAACATTACAGCTACACATGGAGAACATTTCATCCTCCTACATAGTATTATGTAGGGGGAGATGTTCCCAATTCACGGGATAATGTGTTGTGGGTAGACGTAGGCAGAATTCTCGTGGGCAAGTGATCCGGAGTCTATTAATGTAGTGTAAATAATTGAAAGGGGTATTCACTTTCATCCCATCCTAAATTCCTATTTAAGACATTCGACGGATAATTAGGATATGCTCTTCACACATGGCGCCTCACATATATCTTACTATGCATTAGAAACATCTCCCATGAATAATAATATATAAGTATGAAAAATGTTTTTAATACATAGTGGGATATGCCTATGACATCGGTGTGAGGCACCTTATGTGAGAAGCAAATTCGGTCTCATTCCCCGAAGACCTGAACCCAACCCTACAACGTCGGGTATCGGGTCAAGGCAAAATAATCGTTCAACTCAACCAAATTTCATTGGGTACAGCCAGTCAAAGAAAACGTCCACACTGTGCTGACATTTATTAGACAGAAAACCCAGATCTGATACAAGCACAATGTGTACAATGGGTTGACCGTAAACTAAACTGTCTGTACATTGAATGGGATTATGGGAAGACGCGGTATGCCTCTTGTTTTTCAACGATGGAATGCAATCGAATAGCCACAAAGGAACACGATTTCACACCGCAACAAACAGTGCAAAAACTCTAAATGGATTTTACTTGCATGAATATTCACATCTCATCCTCCTGTCTTATGAACAAACTAGCGGGGACTCGTGCATGTTACGGGAAGATATGAAAGATTGAATAATTTTATGGGTTTAGAAGATGAGGGCAACTTTTTGCCCCGAATATTAATAAAAAAAATAAAATAATTAAAATAAGATAGGATTTTTGAAGAAAATATCAAGAAAGGGCAGTGGATACAGAACTTCTATGAGTCCTTGGAGATGAAGACTTAGACACGGCCGCTGGTTTGCTTTCTGGGACGTGAAGAGCATTTCCGGTTACTATACTTTAGAGGAGGGTTTTCGTCCGATCGTCTTTGAATCCAGGGGAGGAATTAGTGGAGTTTGGATGCAAACTTTAGAGACTACCAAGCTCCATACACCGAAACTTACCTATGAATTCTCATATTTTCCGTGGCCTTCTACCGTAAAAGAAGAGTTTCCCAACAGCAATAAGATCATGGAGTATCTTGATTTGTATGCTCGGGAGTTCGACCTTCTTCGCCATATCAAGTTCAATTCCAAAATCATCGGCATTGACTACAAGGGAGCTTCTAACGATGAGATTCTAGCATGGAGGAAGATGATGAACAGTGTCCGCCCTTTTTTGATATTTTTTCCAAAAAGACTATCTTATTTTGGTTATTTTATAAAAATGTTATTTTCAATTGATATTTTGGGAAAAAAGTTGCACTTAATGATAAAATTTTGTTATTAATTAATTAAAAATATTCAGTTATTGTTAATATTGAAATTTTAATAATTATATTTTTATTTAATGTTGATTTATAAAAAATAATTATTGTTAATTTAATAGGAATAAATATTTTTTAATAAATTTAATCTTATTAATTATTATGGTAATTTTAATAACTATTATTATTTTCGTTATTTTTAAATGAAATTTTGATTTACTTTAATTAAATAAAAATAATTACAAAAGCTAACATTCAATTTTATTAATTTCACTAATAATGAATAATTATATAGGAATGGCAACGGGGCGGGTTCGAGGCAGGTCACCTCCTCCTTATTCCCATCCCATAGTCAAGACAATCTAACCCATCCTCACCCCATTCCCGCTGTCCAGAGGGTTCAAGGCAAGGCACTCATTCCTCGTTTGGGACGGGGAATCCTCAAGTTTCTTTGCCTCATCCCCAGTGTTGGGTGGGTTCAAGGCAAGGCACCCATTCCCCGTTTGGGACGGGGAATCCTCGAATTTCTTTGCCTCATCCCCGGTGTTGGGTGGGTTCAAGGCAAGGCATCCACTCCCCATTAGGGGCAAGGAATCCTCAAAATTCCCTACCTTGTCCCTAGTATCAAGCGGATTTAGGGAAAGGCACCCACTCCCTGTCAGGGATGGGGAATCCTCGAATTCCCCCCCCCCACCCCCTCGTCCCTAGTCTCGAATAGGTTCACAACAAGACACCCGCTCCCTGTCAGGGACGAGGAGTCCTCGAATTTCCCCGCCTCATCTCCAATGTCGGGTGGGTTCAGGGCAAGGCACCCACTCCCCATCAGGGATAGGGAATTCTTGAATTTTCTCCGCATCGTCCTCAGTGTTGGGCAGGTTTAGGGCAAGGCACCCCACTCTCCGTTTGGGATGGGGAATCCCTCGAATTTCCCTACCTCATCCCCAACGTCGGGCGGGTTCAGGGCAAGGTACCCACTCCTCATCAGGGGTGGGGTATCCTTGAATTCCCCCCTCCCCATCCCTGTTCTTGGGCGGGTTCACAGTAAGGAACCCACTCCCCATAAGGGACAGGGAATCCTCAAATTTCCTTACCTTATCCCCAATGTAGGGTGGGTTCATGGCAAGGCACTCACTCCCCATCAGGGACAAGGAATCATCAAAATTTCCCTGCCCCATTGTTAGGCAAGTTTAGGGCAAAGCACCCACTCCTCGTCAAGGATGGGAAATCCTCGTAATTTCCCTGCCCCCCGTCCTAGTGTTGGGTGGGTTTGCGGCAAGGCACCCACTCTTCGTCACTCCATCAAGGATGGGGAACCCAATATTCAATTTGATGACAAAAATGATCAAATGGATATACTGAGTATCAACCAAATAGAAAATTTCCAAAAGTATACTAAATTATCTTTAATTGTCAAAAATGTAATTTTATGAAAATTTATTACATATGTGTAATTTTGAAAAGTTATTGAAATTTATTTTCAAATTGTTATTAAATAACTTATTTTCTTCTTTAAATGGTTTACTTACAAAAGTACACTAATTTATCTTATAGTTGACAATATAAACTAATCAATAACTTTGTTTTCCAATATTATATTAATTTATCTTCATAAATTTTGTAATTTGGTTCAAATTACAATTTTCCCTTTCACATACTCTTTTAGCTTTAATAATTTACAATGAAAATTACACAAATTTTCAATAATTTTTCAAAATCTATCAGATGTAATAAAATTTCCTAAAAATTTCAAAATATTCCAATAACTTTCAAAATTTTTCTAGAAGTACAACAATATATCTTTTATTTTCCAACATAAATTAATTAATAATTTCATTTACAATATTATAATATTTTATTTCCCCATCTGCATTCGGTTATTAACTATAATAATAGCAATAACTAAAATTTTATACTTTTTGATAGTTGTTAAATATAATTCTCAATTTTATAGAAATTAGTTAAAGAGATTTCAATTTCTATAAAATGTTGTTAATTAATATGAGTATAACAGTATTTACCCAAAGTACATTAAAATTTCATGATAAATTAATTAATAACAATATTTATTATTTTTTGAAATTTACTAACAATATTTATTAATTTTTGGTAAGCAGTATTTAATACTCATTGAATGGGTTGTATTAAATATTAATCATATTTAACTATTTATTAATTAAATAAGAGATGTAGATTGGGGGGGGGGGATTTTATGAATTGATTGGGGAGTGGAGTAACATGATACATTCCTAATGGCTTAGAGGAGATATCTTAGGAGAGAGATGCTATGAATATTTTTAGGTAGTTGGGTTGGGAATAGAGAGGGAGAGTTTGGTGCTTCTTAAGAGTGGTGGAAATGGGAGTGGAGAGAGAGTCAAGGAGAATGGAGGGTGGGGGTAATGGAGCAAGGAAAGGCATGGTAACGTGGACTGTCTTGCTATATATATAGACTAATGGGGACCTATGCGATGCACAGGAAAATCTGACTATTATGTAATTCATAGATTAATAATCAAAATTTGTTGTTAATTAGCTAAAAGTATTCAAAGTTATTGTTAGTATTTAAAATTTTAATAATTGTAGTTTTCATTTAATGTTGATTTACAGAAAATAATTATTGTTAATTTAATATGAACAAATATTTTTAATAAATTTAATTTTATTAATAATTATTATTTTCATTATTTTTAAATGAAAATTTAATTGACTTTAAATAAATAAAAATAATTACAAAAGCTAACATTTTTATTAATTTCACTAATAATTAACAATTATATAGGAATGACAACAGAGCGGGGCACTCCATCCCTATCCCTGCCCTGTAGTTAAGACACTCTACCCCATCCCCTAACCCGTCCCCAGTGTTAGGTGAGTTTAGGGCAAGACACCCACTCCCCCTTAGGGACGAGGAATCATTGAATTTTCCCCGCCCCGTCCCTAGTATTGGATGGGTTTAGGGCAAGGCATCCACTCCCCGTCAACCCAATACTCAATTTGATGACAAAAATGATTAAAAAGATATATTGAGTATCAACCAAATGGTAAAATTCTAAATGTACACTAATTTGTCTTTAATTTTCAAAAATGTAATTTTATGAAAGTTTTGGAAAATTTGTTACATTTGTATAATTTTGAAAATTTATTTAAATTTATTTTTAAATTGTTATTAAATAATTTATTTTCTTTTTAAATGATTTACTTACAAAATTACACTAATTTATCTTATACTTTTTAATATAAACTAATCGGTAATTTCCTTTTTCCATTATTATACTAATTTATCTTAATAGTTTGTGTAATTATTGGTTCAAATTATAGTTTTCCCTTTCCCATACTCATTTATCTTTAATATTTTTCAATAATTTACAATAAAAATTACATAATTTTTCAATAGTTTTTCAAAACCTATCAAATGTAATAAATTTTCCTAAAATTTCCAAAATATTCCAATAAATTTTAATAATTATTTAATACATTTTAAATAAGCTTTTAAAAATTTTATATCTTTTAATTTCCAAAATACTATTTTATGAAAATATAGTTTTATGAAAAATTTATTACATTTGTGTAATTATGGAGATTTATTGAAAATTATTTTAAATTGTTATTAAATATTTATTTTTATTAGGTAGTTTACTAACAAAATTACACTAATTTATATTTTATTTTCCAATATAAATTAGTTATTAATTTTATTTTCCAGCATTATAGTATTTTATTCCCCCATCTACATTTGGTTATTAACTATAATAGTAGAAATAACTAAAATTTTATACTTTTTGATAATTGTTAAATATAATTCTCAATTTTATAGAGATTAGTTAAAGAGTTTTCAATATTTACAAAATGTTGTTAATTAACATGAATATAACACTATTTACCCATAATACTTTAAAAAGTCATTATGAATTTGTTAGTAACAATATTTGTTAATTTTTGGTAATTTACTAATCATATTTATTAACTTTTGGTAATAACACTATTTAATACTCATTGAATATGGGTTGGATAAAATATTAACTATAATACTATTTATTAATTAATTTGAATATTTTAAATGAAATAGAGTGGATATAAATTAGGGGGGTGGAGAGATTTTAGGAATTGATTGGGGAGTGGGGTAACATGATAAGTTCCTAATGGGTGGGATGAGGTGCCTTAGGTGAGAGTAAATTTCTTAAACTACCCTTATGGTTTAGCTAATTGACTAAATGTACCCTTATTGTTTGAAAATTGATTAATGCCACCCCTACTGTTTTTGACAATTGACTAACACTATCCTTATCATTAACCTCCATCAAAACCCATGCAAAATGCCTAAACTACCCTTTTATTGTCCAAAATATTCGGTTTTGCAATGGTTCAAGAGCCCTGCGGCTTAAAAAATGCATAGCTCAAAGATGACCCTATAACTCCCATCGCTGGGGTGGAGTTACAAGGCAATGCCGCGGCTGTCACCTAGAGGAAGAAGAGAGAGAGAAAGAGAGATCGGATTGAGGAAGAAGAGAGAAGAAAGAGAGATCAGAGTTCAAAGGGGATTATCGCCGTCGTCACCCAAAGGAAGAAGGAAGAAGAAAAAGAGATGGGAGTTTAGAGGGGGTTGCCGCCACCGCCACCCAGAGGAAGAAGAGAGAGAGAGATCGGACTTCAGAGGGGTTGCTGCCATCGTCGCCTAGAGGAAGAGGAGAGAGAGGAAGAGAGATCAGACTTTAGAGGGGTTGCCATCATCGTTGCCCAGAGAGAGAGAGAGATAAAGACTTCTTCTTTCTATTTTCCTCTCATTAAAACCCACAAGTAAACCTTAAAAATCTATCTGTCTCCTCTTTTTTCTAGATTTTGCAGAGATAATTCCCTTCTCTCTGGATTTTGCAGAGAGAAAGATAGAACTGAACGTTATTCGTTGAATCTTCAATTTCAAAAACCCAAAATTCCTCCAACATCCCTGTAGTATATAAATCCAAATTGAATGGTATTCCTTAATGTAAACGTATTTGTTCTGTTCGTGTTGTTCCTATTAAAGCTTAAAGAAATCTTTTAGAACATCCCTATAGTTTTTTTTCCCTCCTCTTCAATGTATTTTCTTTTAGGTTCTTGACTGTGAAAAGATAGATAGTATTTTTTTTTTTTTTTGGTTCTGTTATAGAGTGCGGATATGGTATAGTTCTCTCTTGTAATATGGCATTGACGGAGATTGTGGGAGGAAGATAGATGGAAGAGAGAGAGAGAGGTGTAGAAGGAGGAAGGGTGTGCCGAGTAAGGAGGAATGGGATAAGGATAGCATTGGGTTTTAAAAAAATTTAAACTTTTGATGGAATATTAATAGATGTTAACGGTAAGAGTAGAGTTAGGTAAGAATATCATTAATCAATTTTCAAATAGTAAGGGTACACTTAGTCAATTAATTAAACTATAAGGGTAATTTAAAAAATCTACCCTTATAAGAATATTTTTAGATAATTAGGTTGAGACTATGGAGTGATGGAAAGAGAGAGGAAAGAGAGTAAGGAGGATAACGGAGGAAGGAAAGACATGCTGAATTGGACCTAATAGATAGATTGATGGTATAAAATAATCCAGCCACGAATCGATTTCCTCTGGAACTGGAAATAGGAGCTCATTAAGCAACCCAGAACGTGTAATCGAACCCATCGATTCAGAAACATTGGAATCACGTTTAACCAAACCCCAGTTCTTAATTTGTGAAATCATTTAATTTCCTGAAGCCATTGCAGCAGTTATGACTTTGGGGTCGTAGAGAGTAAGAAACCCAGATTCAATGTGAACACGATCCTCCCGAACTCTAAAAGTTTCTGCCTGCTGCGCATGAGACAAATTGAATTGTTCAAGCTTTCAAGCGATTTGTTATTGCAGGCGTTTACCGATGTGCAGTAACCAGTAAGTCGTAATCCAACTGGGGTGGGTCTCGACTCTCGAGTGTTGACCATTGAGACTTGGGAAAGTGCTATTCAGTTGCGGTAGTCTTTTGCCTCTAGCACGTTGGAAAAAGAGAGGAAGAAAATCATTTACGCAGATGAAGATGAACAATCGCTCATTGTGGCATTTTTACATATAATTTGTGTGCATATTATTTCTAAACGCCTCGTCAAATTGTTTATTGTCCCCCTCACGTGCACTGTGTCCTCTGTCTCTGCACAGGATTTTCTTTCTCGGTATTATCCAAGTAGGATCTTAACTCACTTCAGACGACTTCTTTGGCGTGTTCGGTGCAATGCATTGTTTTTTTTCTTGTTCAAAGGTGTTAGGGAGGGAGAGAGAGAGAGGGACAGAATGAAAGAGAAATACCAAAAGTCTTCCGTCCTTAAATTTCGTCCAGCCTACCCACCCACCATGAAAGGAAACAGAAAAATGAAAGTAAGACATAGGAAGCTTCAGCCATTCAATCGAAAACGAAAAAAGTTGATTAACAAAAGAGGATGAAGCATTCGTCTTTCTCTTCCACTTCTTACGGTTGTATGTTCAAACTCCGATAGAAACAGCAATGCCGAGAACTTCATTTATCTCCTGTTTCGGGCGAACTCTCTCCTCCTGCATCAAACCCGTCTCTCATTCTCCTCCGGAAGAACGTCTTGCCGAAGTCCCCGCCAACTTTGATGTGCTAGTCCTCCACTCTGGTTCGTTCCCTGCAATAAAATCAATCGCTTCAGGTCTTTGTTCGCATCTGGAAAGGGTAGGAATCTCTGTTGGATTCTCCGGCGACGCAGAGATTGTTCGTGCGGATGTTTTCATCGTAATTCTGTCAAAAGACTTCGCGGATTCAACGGACCGGCTAGAGGAATTAAAGAGAGTTCATGAGAGCAAAGCGGATTTGATTCCAGTATTCCTTGACGTCAGGCCGTCCGAGGTTCGGAGGACCGGCAAAGGTGCATTCTGTGATGCGTTTAAAAGGATTAAAAATGACCCTGGGTTTGAAGGTTGGAGAGTTTCCTTTGAGAAGACGGCTCTGATATCTGGCTGGAAATTGAGCGACTATGGAGGGTCAGTTGGCTTTGTCATTTTGAGACTTGAGACTACATTCACTGATTCTGCTTTAGGTTTCTCTATATTTTAGTCTCTGAGGTAACTAATCTGTTTTTCCTTTGCTTATGCTACTTTGTTTAACAGGAATTCGAGGAAACTCGTAAAAGTAGTGGTTGAGAATGTTATAAAAAAGGTGAGTTCTTCTTCGTTACAAGTTGCAAAGCATCCAGTTGGCCTTACTGAGAAGATTGAGAAACTGGAAAGATTGCTCGAAGTTGGAGATGAATCAAGCAAGGCCAAGGTGTTGGGAATAGTCGGTATGGGTGGCATTGGCAAGACCACCTTGGCGAAAGAGTTCTTTAACATGAAAAGGACCCAATTCAAAGCATCTTGCTTTGTTGAAGACGTAAAGGGTAAGATTGAGAAATCTGGACTTGAAAGAGTCCAGAGTCTTCTTCTCAACAATTTGCTTCAGATCGACCACCAGATACATAGCACTAATCGTGGTAAGTTTCTCCTTAAGACATGTCTTCCTCGATCTGAAGTGATTCTTGTTCTTGATAACATTGATGATTTGGACCACTTGGATTCTCTGTCTATTCCTGAACATGTTCATAGAAACAGCATAGTGTTGATCACAACCCGTGACAGGAGATTGCTAGAGTGTATCCCAGACTCCTTGATATATGATATGGAAGGGCTTGAAAAGAAATATGCAAGGGAGTTGTTTTGTTGGCATGCATTTCTAATGCCTCATCCTGCTCTTGGATTTGATATCTTGGTTGAGAAGTTTGTTACCTATTGTGATGGCTTGCCCCTTTCCTTAGAAACACTAGGGGGAAAGCTTTTTGGGGAAGAGCTAAACATGTGGGAGGAAACACTGAGAAGTGTCTCTCAGAGCTTACCTGGTGATATTGAAAGACAAATCAGAGTCAGCTATGATGCTCTTGATTGGTTTGAGCAGCAGATATTCCTGGACATTGCGTTGTTTTTTATTGGAGAAAATAAGGACATGGCTGTTAGGATCTGGAATGCATTAGATTGGTTTGGCACTGTTGGTGTTCAGTCATTGCAGCAAAAATGCCTCATTAAGTTGCAGGATGGGCGGTTTCAAATGCATGATCAGTTGAAAGAAATGGCTGCAAAGATAATTGATGAAAAAGATATAGACAATCCTGGGCGTCGCAGCCGGCTTTGGCGTCCAAATGATGTCATGAAAGTTCTCAGCAATGAATCGGTATCTAGTTTTCAACACTTAATTATTTTTTTGATGTTTTTTCTCTCGGTATATACATCGGAGATTTGAATCACCAACTAATTGGCCTGTAATAAAATCAGTGAGTTGGTAGGTCATATGCATGGTTTAAGGTTTCTTGGTGGCTTTGAATTTAATGCAGTTGGTTGGACCTTGAAGCATTCTGTGTCAATGTTGATATGCCTTCTGTATGTTGGTACTGTGATATATATAAGTAGTGATACTTTGATTTCTATGATACAGCTTGGTTCATGGATAGCTTTTCTCTTTGAAAAGTTTTTTTTGCAATTTTGATGTTATCTCGTTTTTTTTATGTTTTCTGCTACTCCCTTCCTGAGAAATATATATGTCCCAGATGCAAAGGGTTGGTGCTTACCATTTGTTGTTTTCCATGTTGAAGCTTTTCTGAGATGGGAATCAACACAATTGGATCTTGCTAAAAAAGTCCGATGCTTAGATTCTTTGAGTGTTTGGGAAAAAAATGTTCCAAATAGTCCAGAAAGAAAAGAAAGAGAAAATTCCAGAAGCATGATTAGGATAAAGAAATCAAGTTGAATTCTATTCTAGCAGATCAGCAATGTAGCACCTGCATAATGGTTTTCCTGGAATACCATACATGAATCCAATGTGTGGCAGATGTTGGAAAGATCCTTCTTCCACTCATCCAATCATGACCGAGAATCGTTCTTTAATCATATACCCTGATAATTGATTATTGAACAAATATTGAATTTTCTGCTACTGTTGAGTTACTTAAATGAAGTCAATCTATCTTTATCCTCCATATTGAACAATGATTAAATTTGTTGTTACTACTACAACTTATCTTTGACAAAGAAGAATATGCCATCTTGTATTTTGAATTTGAGCTAGGTCATGAAGTTGGCATGTTAGAGTCTGATTCTATTTCTGTTGTCTTATGGAGCTTTGTAGGGATCAGAAAATGTGGAGGGAATTACATTGACAACAAAACAAGTAGAAGATGAAAAACCACAAATCATAAGAAACTCATATGGAGGGCTTGGATCAGCTTGGTCTCTTCGTCCATTTGCTCCTATGAAGGAACTGCGTCTTCTAATTCTTGAAGATGCGTGTGTCAAAGGAGATTTCAGGCTCTTATCAAAAAAGATTCTATGGTTACGATGGAGACATTGTCCTAGTGGATCTTTTCCCTTGGGACTACCTGTTGAAAATCTACGTGTTTTAGACTTGTCAGGTGGCAAACTATCAAGCCTCTGGAGTGATAACAATCAGGTGAACATTTCTTTTCCTGGTATTAGTTGTCATGGGTGTTGACTTGTCAGAGTTCTTTCTTTGAAGTTTCTGTTGCCTGATTGCTCTGGCACAAATCATTTATCTTTAAAAGCTAAATTACCTCTAATTATTAGCTCTTCCTTTCAATTTTATAGATTCCAGTGCATCTAGAAGAACTACACCTGCAAGGTTGCGGATCACTTCAAAGACTCCCCAAATCAATTAAATTTTTAAATGGCCTGGAAAAATTGGTTCTGAGCCATTGTGGGAATCTTGTTGACCTTCCTGATGAGTTGTGTGAAATCTATGCATTGAAACATGTGGATCTTTCTCACTGTACCAGCTTGCATTCTTTGCCAAATCGTCTCGGAAACTGGAAGCAATTGCGGTATTTCAATCTATCTGGTTGTAAGAGCCTGGAATCTTTGCCCTTATGCTTTGGAGAATTGGAAAAGTTGGAGCACCTGGATATTGAATTTTGTTCAGCATTAACTCAACTTCCATTGTCATTTTGCAAGTTAGTGGAAATAAGACACCTTAATCTAAACTGCTGTACCAACTTGGAGATTGAAGCAGATGTCATATGTGGTTTCAATAAACTGGAGTTCCTCACTACCCTTGCTTGTAAAAGTTTCTACTTGCCTCGTAGAATTTCATGCCAAAGTTGTATTAGGACTCTTCATTTATGTTGTTTGCGGTTAACAGCACTTCCTGGTTATCTTGGAGATCTTGAGAGTTTGGAGGTCCTTATCTTATATGGAGGCCTTGAAGTAAAATCACTGGAACCTGTTGTGTTTACCAAGTTAAATCATTTGAAATATCTGAACATTATTCGATTTCCAGTTCTTGAGGAATTGGGAAATTCCCTGGGCCATCTTAAACAGCTTCATTCACTTCATATTTCACAAAGTGGAATACTCAAGTTACCTGAGGAAATTGGGAATTTGGAAGCTCTAAAGCATCTTAGAATTGATTTTTGTGAAAATCTGGACAGACTTCCCATGAGTATTAAAGAACTTTCGAGCCTATCCGTATGTGCATTCACTGGATGTTCTAGACTTCAGTTGGATCGTAGAGCATTCCCTGAAATATCAACTATAGAGACACTTCATCTTGGTAATTGCAAGGTTAGCGATGATTTCTTCCATTTCATTTGTTATGAAGGTGTATCCCTTAAAGAACTGAAGTTTGAGGATGTGCGGCTTCCCACTACAAAAGAAACTGGAAGAGGGCTAACTAAACTTGCATCATTATCTCTGTTATCCTGTTCAAATTTGAGTCAATTTGACACTTTTACAGGGCTATCATCAGTTAAAATTCAAGCATGCCAAAGTCTGAAGAGGGTTACAGTGCCTCTTGTTGTTACTACTTTACAAACATTAGATCTGGAAGAATGCAAGAACCTTGTTGAGATATGTTCCATTGAGAACTTAAAAAATCTGAAAAACTTAAATATTAGTGGCTGTTTTGACCTGCATTCTATTTCAGGCCTTGACAAATTGAATAAAGTGACAGATCTCCGTTTGGCATTGTCTGACTGGTATCTTTTTTGTGGTGATGGCTGGTTGGAGGTAAGATATTATTCAATTTCTCCTTTTTTTATCAGCCATTCAATTTCTCTTTCTTTTGCTTCTGTTGCAACTTGCAAGAAATGAAGCCTATAAGAGTAGAAGAAAAACAGTCCTAAGGAATGAAAGGACTGATTTAAAAGTTGTGAAAAGATATTAGATATCAACAGAAAAGAGAAAAGGAGAGGAGAGAAGAAGAAGTTGGTGGCAAATAGGGTTTAGAGAGAAGACTGCCGAATATTTCTCTCTTCCCTAATCCTTTTCATTAAAACATAATTTACAAGTTTTGATATTTACAGAGAGGCCCTTAATTGGGTGAATAACTTAATTAAGCATAACATAAAAAAGGCCCATTAACAACATAAACAAAAAGCATAAACAAATAAAAGCATCGTATGGGCCATTCAACCCATTCTCTCTACACTCCCCCTCAAGCTGAGAATAGATGTCAATCATGCTCAGCTTGCTAGTGTCATGTTGTAGTTTGGCCTTGGAGATTCCCTTGGTAAGAATGTCAACTAACTATTCTTCAGATGTATTGAATGGTAGACAAACTTCTCTAGAAGCCATTCTTTCTCTAATAAAATGCTTGTCAATTTCAATGTGTTTAGTCCTATCATATTCACTGGATTGTGAGCAATGTTGATGGTGGCCTGATTATCACATTATAGCATCAATGGCTTATCATACTCAACACCTAGTTCCTCCATCAAGGATCGAAACCAAAGTAACTTAGAAACTCCATGAGCCATAGTTCTATACTCGACCTTAGCTGAAGATCTGGCAACAATTTATTGTTTCTTGCTTCTCTAAGAAACAATATTACCTGCCACCATGTTACAATATCTAGAAGTTGACCTCCTATCGTTAATGTTTCCCGCCCAGTCAGCATCTATGTAAGCCTCCAGTTTCATATGACCATGCTTAGCAAAAAGAATTCCCTTCCCAAGAGTATTCTTCAAATAACATAAAATTCATTCTACTGCTACCATATGAGTGTCCCTGGGAGCATGCATGAACTGGCTAATGCAGCTGACAGCATATGCAATGTTAGGCCGAGTCATGCAAAGATATAACAATTTCCCTAGTAACCTTTGAAACACTCCCTTATCCTTCAACAACTCTCCATTTGAGGCAGAAAGTTTGTAACTCATATCAATAGGAGTATCCATTGGTTTTGCACCCATCTTGCCTGTTTCAGTGAGCAAGTCTAGCACATACTTTTGTTGAGAGATAAAAATTCTATCCTTAGACCGAACCACTTCTATGCCAAGGAAATACCTCAACTCCCCTAGATCTTTGATCTCAGACTCTATATGAAGGAAATATTTAAGATCATCAATCCTTGTCACATCAATACCAGTCACTACTATATCATCAACATAGACTATAAGATATACCACCAATGAATCTCTCCTCTTTTTTTTCTTTTGATCAATAATAATATGAATCTCTCTTCTTCACAAAGAGGTATGATCGGACTGAGTCTGTATGTAACCAAAGTTAACAAGGGCAGCCCTAAACCTTTCAAACCATGTCCTAGGTGACTGTTTAAGTCCATAGAGAGACTTCTTTAGCTTGCACACTTTTACCTCCATATCTGTGCCATGCATCCCTAGTGGGAGAAACATATAGACCTCATGTAATTCTCCATTCAAGAATGCATTTTCCACATCAAATTGATAGAGTGGCCAATCTGAATGAGCAGCCAAAGATATTTGCCACCGGTACCACTTGGAATTAAAGAGGGGATGAGGAGGTAATGGAGGAGGAATAGGAACATTGGAAGGAACATGAGATGATTGTTCCTCCCTTGACTCATTAAGAATAGAAGAAGGCACAAGAGGAGACTCAATAGGGATAGGAAGGGGGAGTGCAAACAACTGTGACAAGTTCTCCCCCTTTGAACAATGCTTCCCCAGAGAAGAATCATAGAAAGGAGTGGAATCATCAAAGGTAATATCCATTGAAACATAACGATTTCCGGTGTTTGGATCAAAACAACAATAACCCTTCTGTGTGGAGGCATAACCAAGGAATATGCACTTGTGGGCCTTTGGTTCAAACTTATCGTCTTTGGGCACTTGGGATGTGTACATAACAAGTACAACCAAAGACATGAAAGGGAATAGGAAAAAGGTCCTTACCCGGATGAAAGAGGCTAAAGGGAGACTTAAAACCCAACACTCTGGATGGCATACGGTTAATTAGGTAGGTTGCAGTGAGAACAATATCCCCCCAAATTTTTGTAGGGACATGTGAGGCAAACAGGATACTTTTTGCAACTTCAACTATGTGACGGTTCTTCCTCTCAGCAACTCCATTTTGTTCTGGAGTACGAACACATGAACTCTGGTGAATAACCCCAAAATTAGTGAGATAAGAGGCTAGGTTTTTCTCAAAGTATTCCTTTCCATTGTTAGATCTGAATATTTTGATTCTAGTGCCAAACATGGTAAGAGCAAATTCATGGAACTGTCTCACAAGTTTGGGAATTTCATCTCGGGATTTCATAAAAAATAACCAAGTATATCGTGTGAAATTGTCAATGAACAAGATAAAATATCTATAGCCTCCCATGGAGGGTAAATGGTATGGCCCCCACACATCAGAGTGCACAATATGGAATGAAGAAGATGATCTTTTATTACTCAAAGGATAACTGTTTCTACAATGTTTTAACAACTCACAGGACTCACAATGAAGACTGGACAAGTTAATTCCCTTAAACAGTTCTGGGAATAGATGACTCAAAGCAGAAAAAGATAAATGACCCAAATGAAAATGACATGACACGACTAAAGGACTCTGAAGAGATAGATTCAAAAGCAGCTTTCCCAGGTTGTCATTGGCTTTGTCTAGGAGTATCCAATGGGTATATTCCATTCACCTCATGGCCACTCCCAATCACTTTCTGAGACTTTAGGTCCTGAAAAACACAATAAGAAGGAAAGAATGTTACACCGCAGTTTAGGGACATGAAGAACATATAGAAGAGAAAGGGAGTCTATAGCCTTGATGGTTCCCTTGCCAAGAGATAGGAGCAAGTGAGCCATCAACTAGGGTAATCTTATCACGACCAGGAAGCAAATCATAAGAAATAAATAAAGTGGAAAGGTTGGTCATATGATCAGAAGCACCAGAATCAATAATCCAAGGAATCCTATGATTACCTGAGATAGTTGCATGATTGGCAGTAGCACGTATACCTGAATGTGCAAGTGCAGAAATAATTGAATTGCCTAGAGGGTTAGAGGAGGAGGCTGCACTCTCTAGGTGACTGATCATCCTTCCATACTTTTCATATTCTGCCTTCATAACTGCTAACTGTTCACTAGCAATCCTCTCATCAGTTACACACCTGTCATTATCTAGAACAATGGCTTTGTTGGAACTTCCTGTCTTCACATTATCAGCCTTCTTTTGGAAATGAGGTGGAAGGAGTTCCGGATGCAATTTCCAACATTTATCTTTTGTATGTTTTAGTTTCTTGTAGTACTCACACACAACTTCCATTTTTCCTAAACCACTTGAATTGCCTATAGTCAGCTTCGGTTTCAGCCCCATATTGGCAAAATGTTCACTTGGGATGGTCCCTTGAACCTGGACCAACCTCCTGCTCTCTTCACTACTCACCATGGCATAGGCCTGAGACAATGATACATTATCCTTGGGCTAAGATATTCTGTCCGGTGAGGTCAAACTTGGGATTCAGCCCTGTCAAGAATTCAAATACCTTGTTTCTCTCAACTAATTTCCTGTAAGTTTTAGCATCATTAGTACTTTCCCAGACAACAGTTTCCATTAGGTCTATCTCTTTCCACAGAGATTTTAGCATTGAGAAGTAAACGGCTAAAGGTCTCTCCCCCTACCTTAAATTATTCACACCACTCCTTAACTTATATGCCCTGACCACATTCAGTTTTTGTGAATAAGTTTCAGCCACACTATCCCATATTTCCTTGGCTGAATTCATCCATAAATAATGTTGACTGATTTGTGGTTGCATTGAGTTCATTAATCATCCAGTGACAGTATAATTCTCTTGCATCCATTTTTCATAAGATGGGTCATCTTCCGGAGGAGCTTTCTTGCTCCTGGAGATATACCCCCACTTGCCTCTGTTGTAAACATGAATTTTTACCGACTATGACCATGCTAGATAGTTGGTTCCATCCAGCTTGACTGTGGTCACAGCCAAGAGAGAGTCAACGGGAGCTCTTGGAACCTGTCTGGATTCAGCCCCACACTTGTTTTCAACTCCCGAGTTATCCATCTTCCTCAAACAACTCCAACAAAACTTCAAACAGCTTCAAGTGACAAGCAAGGAAGACAGGAAAAATAGACAGCAAGTACCAACCTCTGTGAAGTCAAATCTACCAGCTGCATCTCACCCAGAACACGAGAGAAATCAGAAAACAGCAGCCGCTCCTTGTAGGCTTTACAGAACACCACAAGACTTGAGTCGATCTTCAAGAAAAAGAGAAAGGACCCCTTCAATCACTGAGAGCCAAGGTGAAGCTCCCTATGGGGCCCGCAAACAGAATTCTCCAGTTGATTAGGTTTTTGGGCAAAAAACTCCAGGGACTGTCAGAATGATGACCAAGACAGCATCCTTTTCTCCAAAAATCCACTAACAACTTGGCTGAAAAATTTCTTCAATCACTCGTTCGGTTCAGCTCTCCATACACGCTATGTATGGGAAAAAAAGAGATAAAAAGAAAGAAGGAGAGCCCACTCTGATACCAAGAAGAAAAACAGTCCTAAGGAATGAAATGACTGATTTAAAAGTTGTGAAAAGATGTTAGATATCAGCAGAAAAGAGAAAAGGAGAGGAGAGAAGAAGTTGGCGGCAAATAGGGTTTAGAGAGAAGACTGTCGAATCTTTTCTCTCTTCCCTAATCCTTTTCATTAAAACATAATTTACAAGTTTTGATATTTACAGAGAGGCCCTTAATTGGGCGATTAACTTAATTAAGCATAACATAAAATAGGTCCATTAGTAATTAGTTAGAAGGCCCATTAACAACATAAACAAATAAAAGCATCCTATGGGCCGTTCGGCCCATTCTCTCTACAAGAGTGAATTGAGGATGCCCTCTCTACTTGATACATGTTGGTTATTCTATAACTGTACATAATTTTGACCCAAAGACAAGTAACCACCTCATTGTTGTTTTGAAAAAATACTCCCATCAGAGGGGAATTCATCCATTACACCAGTAGGAAGAGTCTGTAAAGAATTAGCATATTAACCCAATTGATAAGGAAGGACGAATCCTGAATAGAACCTAACTCTGTGGGCTAGCAGCTTTAGGGATCATTGGAAGAGCATTGTATTTGATGTCTCTTAGTATTTGTTGGAGTTCCTTTTGATGTACAGATTCAGGGGAAATGTGGTTAAATATGATATAGAATATATACTACACTTTATTGAATATGTATTTTGAGGGAATCTCTCTCCTCTTAGCATGAAATTAGTCCAATTCAATTGCTATTGTTCATTTTCATTAAATTAGAGGTGGAATGTTGAAATGAATGCATTTACCAAGCAAATCTGGAATCCTTAGAGGTGGTAACATCAATATGAAGTCCTTTTAGGAGAATTAAAAAAGTATTGTGGCATTTAATTTCACTCCACAGCTTGATCCAAAGCCAGCGTTTCTTTGAAACTAAATAAATACCAAATTTTATGACATTTAACAATTTAATGTAATTGCTAACCTTTACTTCTAAGGAAAGGCCAAATTTTTAATTCCCAGTGAATTGTCAAGGATAAGGACTGCTGCAAATGTATACTTTCGTTTGCTAGTTTGGATTGGAAAGGCCCAAGGAACTTGTCATGTTCACTCACTAAAGTCTGAGACCAATTGGCCATGACTATGACTTTTAAGGGTTGACTAACAGATCAAATATATATATGCCAAATTACATACCATTTTCATAGCACTTGATAAATAAATGATGGATAGGCACTGGACAGAAAGGAATGGCAAAACAAGATTCATGTAGCCAACCCCATTATAGTTGGGACTTAGGACAATGTGTAAATGATAATGATGATAATTCATAGCACTTGATACATAGTAATGCAGTATATTTTTCTAGTTTTCATTCATTTTGTTCACTTGCCAAAGGAAACTATATATTTTGTCATTGTTTACTTACCAATTAAGGAAATTTGAAGTTATCCTGAGGCTAATATATTGCCTAACCTCTAAATCTTTAGAGTGAATGGTATTTCACAATCTCCACAGCTCTATGTGCCTGTGGATATACATGCATGCGCTGAGTGTACACATGTCTGTTCCCTTTGATATTCAGGCTCTTCTTTTAACATGTCCTACCTACAAATGAATCTACAATTTTCAGCTACTTCTTGTATGTCACAATGGCCCAAAAGATGGATAAATAAGATAATTCTAACATTATTAACAAAATATCCTTTTGCTGAAATAAATGGTCAGACCACATAAATGGTGCAACATAAGGGGAAAGAATGAAACAACCTAGGACAGGTGGTATTCTAAAATTTAGTCATGGACAATTAAATGGTAGAATGAAGAATTTTAAAAGGGAAAGTAGGTTTACAAGTGCTTTTTTAACAGTGGAGAGCTTTTGAAGTGCTAATGGAATTCAAAGGACTACGTAAAGGAACAGAAAATGGATAAAATTGAGGTAGCATGAGGGGGATAAGTGGGGAAGACCAATTAGGAATTAAATAAAGGGGAGTAGAGTTGGGGAAACAAGAGATAGGATTGGGGTTGAAGAAACTATCTTTTGGATGTCTAGAAGGGACTTGTTCTGTTGGTTTCTGTTTCTCATAGGCTTTTTAACTGTTTAAGAGTTATGGAGTTTCTTCTGGATGTACTCTTTAAGGTTTTCTTGGATGTGGACAACAATAATGTGAGAAACACAACAACAAATTTATTTGCTATTATTCAATCCAAAGGTCTAGAGATCTTTTTTATTGTTTTTTTGAGAAAGTGTAAAGTATTTAATTATAGCATCAAGCATATACACATGAACCTTTCTCAACAGGACACTGAGCATAGGACCTGTACATTCCTTCTATTCTCAAGATACATAAAGTGTACTATAATCAAAATATACATTGTATTATCCTTGAAGCATTCGTCGAGAAGCAGCCGAAGATACTATTTTCCCCATAGATTCTTCACCACTGTTTCCTCTGTTTCTTAAGGCTGCATTTGGAATCGGAGTAAAATGTCATCGGTGTAAAAGTACACTGATGACTTTTTACACAGAACCGTGAGGAAGTGACCATTTCACTTTGAAAAGCATGATATGAAAAGTGTGTAAAGTTTTACATCGATAATCGATGTAAAACTTTACGTTTGGTGAGGTTTTAAATCGACTCGTGACGTAAAACTCCACTCCATCCAAACACACGCAAAACTGAACCAGAGTGGAGTTTTACCTCAATCATGATTACACACTCCTTCCAAACGCCGACAAAATCGAACCAGTGTATATATTTACACCGATAATGTTTTACATCGGTTCCAAACACAGCCTAAGAGTGTTAAAAAATTCTTTTATTTCTTTCCATCCATGTAGTCCACTTGGTATACAACTTTTCCTTGTCTAACTCCATATGAAACCTTCCAGAGATCTTTCAATTAGCAATAAGAGTTCAGACACCAACAATAACTTGTAACAACACAAAAGCAAGAGAATAAAAGAGAGTAGAAGGGAAGAGAGAAAAGAATAGAACTCACCTAGTTTCTCTCTAGGGTTAAGAAGTAACATAAACCAATAATAGCAGAAAAGATTCTATGTTCTTTTATAGGAAAAGTTCTCAAATTCCATTAATCAACCATCAAATTTAGAGACAAAACAATATATTTAGATACCTTGAAATCCAAATCTAATTAACATGCAAATACACAATATGACCCTAAAAAGACTTAAATGACCATAATAGCCTACACATTTAAGAATTAATTTGAGTAATTTAATGACAATAAAAAGATGCCCTCTGCTACTAAAAAAGTAAAAGAGAAGTTTGGTTAGCTTGGTATGTGTCCATCATAGATGGAAAAGAATACAGTTGATGATAGTAAGCCTTATTAAAGACTAATAGTCTAGGTTAATTGCTGTTATTTTTTGTCTTTTCTTATGACCATGTTTTGACTTGTTGCAGATTAATGAACCTTTTGTAATTAATACCTCTTGTATTTTCTGCAGAAAGCTCTAAAGGCAATAAAAATTCCTAAGGTCACACATCTGTTTGTAAAAGTTGAATTAGAAAAATTGGTGTTCAACCTTCCTGCATGTTTCCAACAAATTCCACAATATTCCTCATCAGAATTTAGATTCAAGGTTCCTCACAGCCACAGGACCACATTCTGTGGGGTTATTATATGCTTTGTTTCAAACAGTAATGTGATACTAATGCCCAATTCATTAATGGGTCATCTCAATCGAACTCTATATCTCAAGCATATTAATGGTGCTAATTGCATTGAGATATGCCAGTACAGAATTCCCTTGACAGGCAGCTACTTTCATGTTGGTATATATATGGATGAATTTCTGTTTTCAGAAACTTCTGCAGCTGGAAGCAACTTGGTCCTTTCCTCGGAATTTAATGATCTTATTTGTGGAGCATGGATTTATCCAGTTTCTGCAGAAGAGAAGCACTCGGTTGGCCAACTGGCTTGCAAATTGGTTGAAAGTTTCAGGGAATATGAATCACTGGTTAGGCATTATGTTCCATGGAAAGAGTTGGAGACACAGAAATTGGAGAAAGAATTCAGAAAGATGGTGATTGATATGGACTTTAATGGTATCCATGCTCTTGGAATCTCAAACTTCTTCATTCAACGAACTTACATAATCACGGGTGTTGCAATCTCTGTAAGTATACTTTACATATTGTGCAATTGTTATGGTGAAACTGTGAAACACTTGTATTTATCTTAAAAGTACATATATGTATAAAAGATCAAGATATTCACAAGTCATAACCGTGACCTTGTGGTGTGCATCCAGTACACCTAAGACAAAAGGCCAATTGTCGAAAAGAATCCCTCATATTATACTTACTGAATACTATTTAACACCGGGGTCCAATCCAAGACCCAAATCAGCCAATAATTGGACAAATGGATTCTCAAATTCTTCAAAAAAAGTATATATTATCTCCTTCTAAATGCTTTAGCATAGTGCATAGGAATCATGTTTTGGAGGTAAAGATTCCTACATCTCAGACAGATGAGACAATGAGTGAAAGACTTAACATATTGGAGAATACATCTTAATATGCATCAAAAAAGATAACAAGAAGCCGCAAGCCAGAGGTCTCAGAACAGTGGAGGAAAAGATGTTCCATGGATTCCTCCAAACCTTGCACGTAAAAGCATCTATTTGGGATCTAAAGGCCTTAGGGTTAAAATGGTGCACTATGAGCACCTTTCTGAGGAAAACCATGTGAAGTGATTTAAAAGGCACACCTGAGGCCCGCCTAGGCGCATGGGGGAGGTGCATTTTAAGGTATGCACCTTACCTAGCCCCCAGGCACATACTTGGTGGGCCTTGGCATGTGCTGGCTGCACTTTGTGCTGCAGCCAGGCATGCACCGTTTGAAAATTTGTGCATTTTTTATTTATTCTGTTTTTATGCCTACAGATGGGCTGAGGGCTCCCAGACCCCCAACCAAGCCCCTCATACCTTGGACACAAAATGCCCCTTGCACTTTTTTGTGCCTTGTGCTTTTAAAACACCGAGGTTTCTTCCCTAAAAGGAAAGTACCACCCTTATGCTTCCTTAAAAAAATGCTTTTTCAACCCAAACACGTTAGACCAATCCTGATATTTAGATTTGGTTAGGCTTGTGATATAGGATGGGGTAGGGGTCCTACTAATTTAGGATCTGGTGGTGGGCTTTGAGTGTTGAATAAGAGGCTGTGGGTGATTGGAGATGAAGGATGTGGATGGAGAAGTGCGGTGACAAGTGATGGTTCTAACCATTACAAGTGCTGTGACAAGTGACAAATGATATTTGTGACCCTCTAGTGGATTGAAACCAAGAGGGAAAGTGATGATTAGTTCAGATCAGTACTGTGAAGTGAAAAGATTTCTTGTGATTCAGTGATGGGATTAATTCTGTGATGAGACTAAGGTTGTGAAGTGACTTTCAATGACATAATATGTGTGCTTGTGAACTGTGAATGTGATCAGGTTGGTGAGATTTAGTTGTTCATTTTTTATTGTGAGAAGAGTGAGATACAATGGAGATAAAATCAAATATTATGGGCCCCACAACCTTTATGTTGATTACCATTAAGTTAAATGGCAGCGTAAACTATGTTGTTTGGGCAAAATCAGTAGAGGTTTTACTTACAAAGTTGGAAGGCAGTGCAAACTTTGTTGTTTGGGCCAAATCAGTAGAGGTTTTACTTACAAAGTTGGAAAATTAAAGTATCTCACTGACAAGAAATCCGGGACTGATAATTCCAAGTATTTGAGAAGATGCACAGATTAAAACATGGCTGTGGATCTCTATGGAGGCAAATATCAGCAGTACTCTGATTAGTCTAATATTTCTTGATAGTTCAAAGCATATCTGGGAACAGGTAAAAGGTAAAGAGGATGTACTTGGGGAGTAATAATATTACTAGAATATTACCAGTTATTTTAATCAATTTTCAACTTGCAATAGGGAGATAAGTTTCTTGATTATTACTCAGATGTGATGAGCATTTGTGAGGAGCTTAATATATACCATCCTGTTATCAGTGATGCAACTATTATGGAAAAACAGAAGGAATTGTATGTAGCTAAATTTCTTTCAGGAATCAAACCTGAATACGAATCAGTAAGAGCTCAGATTTTGGGCAGTTCAGAGATACCTGACACGGATGGCGTATTTTCCTGGCTACAGAGGGACAAACTATCTAAATCTACAACCCAGACATCTGATCGAGCAACATTGGTTGTATCTGAAACTAATGGATATGGGGTTGTGGTATGTTGAGGGCCCGGGAATAGGATCTCGTCACGGGTCGGTCCACGGGGAAAACCCCCTGTTTTCCCTTGTTCCTTCCTGCTCGTAATGAACCTATCTTGGCGCCTTTGGTGATTTGTCCAAGAGATCACCAACTCTCCTAACTCACTCTTGACTGAATAATTTGATATCTCATTCAATAATGGGGTCTCCTTAAATAGGAGA